TGGTTCGGCTGACCTCTTGTGAGGGTGGTTCACGTACAGAGTATGGGTGTGTTGGTATGGGGTGTAGGAGTGGTGGTGGTAGGAGGTGGGCCTGTAGCTGGGTTCAGTCTCGGCTGCGGGGTCAGCAGATCTCTTGTGGTGGTGGTATGATGGGTAGCTGTACTGATAGTTGCGGGGATATCCAGGATAGTATAGGTTAGAGGGGTCGGCCTCTGCCTCAGCGGACCTCTTGTGAAGTGGATGGTAGCGACGGGCATGGGAGTAGGCGGTGTGGTGGCCACCATAAGGATGATAAAGGTAGCCTGTGCTTGGCTCCGCCTCTCGCTTCACCTCAGAAGCGCAAGCGGCAGCCACCAGGAGGACAAACACCTGAAAAAAACACAAAGTATCGAATACCCTATTGTGAAAAGGAGAATAATTGAATCAGTCGTTCAATAAACCAAGCATCGTTATCTCCGAATTCTGTAGCTTTAGAACAGCTGTGGATATAGAACAGTAAAGTTGGAACTCACCAAGTACTTCATGTTTGCACGATTGGGGAGAAGGAACTGTGCGATGTGATCTTTGCAGAGGGTTTCTGATCCTTATATAGCACATGGCTTAGAAGCCTTGAGATATCCGACCTCACACCTAAGAAAGCAGGAAGCATTTACTAGTGTATTTTTAAGAAAATATTCGCAAGGCCTATTGTTATATTTATAATATACAGTATGGAAGTAATCAGTGTATTAATGATCAGTATGTCCAGATACAAACCCAGAGAAGACATTCATGTAATCTTCAATTATGATTTCAAATTATTGGTCTCTCTATATAAATAAATATATATATTTATATATTTATATATATATAATTGTATCAAAAGAGAGAAATCTATTATAGAGAAAATATTCTTGGATTATGCAACTGGAATTGTGAGAAAAATATACACTTAACATAGAGATACACTTTTCCTTCTAACTTTTGTTGTTAAAGCCTCTTCAAGGTTACATTTCTTGTTTTTTTACCATCTGTTCTATTCCTAACTGTTTATTCGCTTTTTGTTGTTTTTTAGCGGAGTCCTTCCTCTTTCTTTTATAATTACCAATCCTGTTACTTCTCATTTACCTTAATTATTCAAACCTCTTTAAAGCTATATTTCCTTCGTCTTTCACATCTTCTTGTGCTATTCCATTTCTTTCATATTACATTTTATTTGTTCATATATCTATCACTTTACTAAATATGCTATTTTTCTTCTTGTTGTTTATTCAGAACGATTCTATTATTGTTATTGTTTCAGAGTTTCAGTGCTGATTTTACTATTATATTCCTCTTTTTATGTCTTGTGTTTTATCCATAAGACGTCTCATATCTTCGAAGCAACAGTAGCATTAGTGGCTAAGACTGTGTCGCTACATTCTGGCTCATGCAAAGATAAAGTGCTTGGTAAGTTAAATGTATTTCAAGGGATTTCCCTATATATTAGGATATGATTTTGTGTGCAAGAATCAGTGTATATATGTATAAATATATATATATATATATATATATATATATATATATATATATATATATATGTATGTATATATATATATATATATATATATATATATATATATATATATATATATATATATATATATATATATATATACGTATAAGATATAAATATGAATAAATATTTACATATATATATTCATATTTATATTTTATACGTATTTATATGTATACATGTACATAAATATTTATACACACATACATACACACACACATATGTATGTGTATGTATGTATGTGTGTGTGTATGTAACACACACATATTCATATAATATACCATACAAATATATCTTTATATAGGTATACACACACACACACACACACACACACACACACACACACACACACACACACACATCTCTCTCTCTCTCTTTCTCTCTCTCTCGATATATATATATATATATATATATATATATATATATATATATATATATATATATATACATATATATATATATACATCTTATAGAGGCAAGCATTTGTTCTAACAGAAGAATAATCACACATAATTCATTTTCTTCTAGCTAGTGTAACATTATTCATATTTAACTGTTCTTATTTGCCTATAACTAAAATATGATTTCGCAATACTCTGATTCTACTGATAGTTGCCGCTCACGCTTCCGTAGTGGGGAAAGGAGAGGCGGAGCCAAGAAGAAGCCACGTCCTTAATGCTTGATATCTCTGCCCTCAATCCTTCCACGACACGCATTGTCACTGCTTCCACAAGAGGTCGGCTGAGCCTGTGGCAGTGACCGAGCTAACTATCCCCCATCACTGCTATCCTAACTACCTCTCATACCAGAACCAACAGAGATCTCCCCTCCACCCCTCCTACACACCACACCATCGTAACTGCAACTTCTCCCTGCACGGTGTCCTCTACGCTCACTACCTCCACCATAACTACTGGCCTCATCCCCTTGTGTGTGTTTGTGTATGTGTCTAAGCACATACACATACACACATACTTAGACATATACTTTCTCTCATATCCCTAAATTGGAAGGAAAAGAAATGGAATAAAGAATGTATATTTTCTAACCCTAAAACATCCCACTCGCATCCTTACGTTTCCTAAATTCTTTAAATATGCTTTCAGGACCTACACCCCTACCATTACCATGGGCTCAACTATGGTTACGGCCACTACCATCGCGAATATATGCACCAATTGTTTAGATGATCATTTGATACACATTGCTCCAAGAAGCACATAAAGTATTGTGTCAAAATAATTTATCCATGCACCAATTCAAAGGAAAGGAAAAATATCTGATATGCATTCTTACACAAAATAATATTTTGGCGATATGCTTCAGGAAAATATGAATATACAGAGCACAAATAATATATATATTCAGCGCTGGGTTAATCGTGAAGCATGGGGCAAAAAAATGGGACCCATAGTATTTTCAAAAATACATACATACATACATACATATATACATACATACATAATACATACATACATACAGACACACACACACATATATTTCGACTAAAGACAACACTCATCATATTCTTACCCAATAATATTGCCGTATCGTTTACTATGAATAAATCTTTCTATCAATGTTACTTAATTCCGAAGAAAAAAAAAAACGAAAAACATTACTTTTTCGTATTGCTCTTATTTGGAATTACGTATATAAGTAGGTATCATAATAATAATTCATATTTAGGGCTTCTAGGGGTATTAGTCCGGCCTTGTCAACTGAGATTCAAATACAAAAGCTATGATACTATAAAGCGGAATAAAAATTAAATGAAAAAGCATTTAAACAAATAAATTGATAAATAAAATATACAAAAACAACAACAAAAAATCGTAAAATGAATAAATAAAAGCTACTAATATATAATATCAGTATATACATAAAGATGATTTTATTTTGCAGAGTACAGGAAAAATAAATTTAAAAAAAAGAAAGAATTATATGAATAACCAAAATCAAATAGAAATGAAGAAAATCCATTTACCAGTGAAATGGTAATTTGAATGTAATTGAACGGTAAACTACTGTCTCGTATCATTCTTATTCTATTTCCTTTTTCAAAAGTATCTAACTATATCAATATAATTCAGTATAATTATGTACCTACGTAAATATTCATATGCAATGGTTACACACTTGTCCTTAACATAGGAGTAAATCGAATAATAGAATATTTAGGAAATCTAAATATCACACATACCTACACAAACACGCACACACGCACATGGAAATAAAAGAAATACAGATAACATTATCTGTGAAGGGAGAGAGGAAGAAAAGAAAGTTACTGTTGGTAAGTTTCAAAGGGGAGCTTTCAAAAAAATAACTGAAAACGTTATCCGAACATTTACTGAAATATTAGATAGAAAGTTCCAAGTAACTATAAGAATCATACCTAACAAAGACGAAAATGAAGACAATAACTTTTGAAATGGTGAACACAAAATTAATATATTCTGATGTCGTGGTTCCAGCTTGTACGTGAGGTCGGACACCTCAAGGTTTGCAAGCAGTATACAAGAAGCGGAAATTTCTTATGAGGCCGGGAGCTGCTTAATCCTGTGTTGCTATCGTCGCTATAAGCATAAATACACACGCAATATGTATATAGATGAGGTGGAACAGCAACAAGAAGATCTAGATGAATTCGGATGAATCTAGTCTAACTCTAAAAGTCATTTTTTAAATGTTTCTGTGAATGTGTTTATCTTAACTTTTACCTTGGCCTAAATTTGCTTATTTTACCGTCCTCAGGCGTTTTTCCTCCTGGCGGCTGCCGCTTGCGCTTCCGAAGTGGAGAAGCGAGAGGCGGAGCCAAGCACAGGCCCCCTTTATCCTCCCTATGGTCACCACCACAGTGCCTACTACTATGCCAGCCGCCCCCACTACCTTCACAAGAGGTTCGCTGAGCCTGAGGCCGAGCCCTCTCAGCCTCACTCCCATGGCTATCTCCGTGACTACCATCACAGGTACCTTCCACAAGAGATCTGCTGACCCTGTAGCCGAGGCTGAACCCAGCTACAGGCACATCTCTTCCCACCACCAATCCTACATCCCATACCCACATACCCCTTACGTGCACCACGCTCATAAGAGGTCTGCCGAACCCTGTACCATCTACCCTCACTACTACCGCCACTACACCCCCTACAACCACCACATTCACCACCAACACAAGAGGTCCGCCGAGTCCGAGGCAGAGCCCTCTGTCGGATACTCTCGATACACCCTCCATTATAGCCCCCGGCCACTCCCTTACGCGTCCTACGTTCGCCATCAGCACAAGATGGCCGCCGAAGGAAGCCCTGTTTACCGTCATTCCTACACCCCTTATCACGGCGTCTATCAAGTCACGGCTACTACCACCGATACTGAGGCTCCAGAAGTTTGGATGTCTCTTGTTTGTTTTAAAAGCGAGAGTCCTAAGTGAGAAGGAGTAAAATATAGTAAACCGATCAGTTTTCTGATCGGTTAGAATGAAAAATGTTATTCACGAAATTCGTAGTAAACGAGGATATTTGTTGAATTTACAAAATGAACATTTTAGCAACCAATACGTCTGTAAATTGGCATCTAAATGTTATAACACACACACACCTGCAGAGACACGCGTATTCACACATACATATATACATATATATTAATTGTATATATATATATATATATGCAAGCCTGTATTACATATACCTATATACCTATATATATCCTTCTATCAGTCTCTCGTTCTATATATATATGTACATATATACATATATGTATTTAACTGTATATATACATACATGCATATGTATATACATATATGTATACACACACACACACACACACACACACATATATGTATAAATATATATATATATATATATATATATATATATATATATATATATATATATATGTATATCTATATGTATATATATATATATTTGTATATGTATATTCATATATATCTATATACATGTATATAGATATATATACATATATAGGCAT